AAGGCGAGGTGGAGAAAGCTGAAGAGAGTGGTAGGTCCGATGCCTCAAGGTCCCCAGGCACCCAGTAAACAGCGTTTCAAGAAGGAACGCACCAAGACCCGGGATGCAAAGAGGAAGAGACTGGGTGAAGAGGACGATGAGGAGGAGGAGGAGGTGATGCAGGAAGTGAAGGGTGAGAAGGACCAGGTGGGAAAGGACTCAACAACATCTTCCAATAAGAAAGAGGTTGGTGTGAGGAAACGCGACGCCTCCAGTGAGCTCAGTGACGACAGCCAGAAGGACGACACTAAAGATGATGAAGGGAGAGCTGAACATAACGCAAACGGCGCTCAGGGTCTATTGGCAACTGACGTAGATAAAGACTTCGAATCTTCTCTTACAGAATGGATTTATGACCCACTAGGTGAAACGACCCTTGAAGAGGAGCTGAAGAAGGCCAGGGAGGAAGAGACCCTTGTTGGTGATGATTTTCCATTACCGTCTGAAACAAGAGTCGGTATCCACAAAGTTTCTGCAGACAGGGAGAAAGAAACAACAGACAAGTCTTCCCACTCTGATGCAGAAGGCGTTAGTAACAGCGAGAAATCTGTCAAGTTTTTCATATCGGATGACGAGAGTGACAGCGATACGGCAATCTTTGTTGACGCCTGTCAGCACACACTAAGTGGCGAGGAGAACGGCCAGGTAGACGAGCACATGAACGCTGCTGTGGTCGACGGTATCAACGACAGGATGGACGGGTACGCGTTCATCGACATGAAGGCAGAGTCAGGAGCCGAACCTTCACTTGAGAGCGACGACATAGAGCTCGTCATCGGCGACATGGTAGAAGACGAAGAAGTTAATGGCACTGAAACTCTAAACCCCCTCTCAGAAATCCTCGACAATGAGAGTGCAGGGGCACTACCATCAAGCAGCCCTCCCAGAGATAACTCAGGAGTCACGGGAAATGGGGCAGTTCATATCATATCAGGACAACAAATGGAATCAGACGGTGCCATGAACTCATCACCGAGTGAATCTGCCACAGAAGGAGACTCAGTCAGCAGGTCATCGGTGAGTGATCACGCTGACGCAGACTCTGTAAGCAGGACTTCCTTTATAGGATCTGGCGAACGTGTTGTGGCCAGGAAAATTTCAACTGATGGTTCTGTGGATCCCGATGCACTGAGCACAGCATCGGTAACGGAATCGACTGACTCAGAAACTGTGAGCAGAAGTTCAACCACAGAGGCCTTACAACAAGAAGTCATGACATCAAGTACTGAAAAAGCTGAAGCAGATGGTAGTGCAAGAGGGTCGACAGTATCCCCCAGTGGGTCAAGTCCATCCATCAAGTCGCTCGGCAGCCAAGGAATACTGCAGCCCTCAAGTAGAGCGCCAGACACTGCCAGCACCACTTCAGCCAGCGAGTCCGGCGACATGGAAGCTTTTAGCAAGACCTCAGCTAGTGAGTACGAAGGAGATGGAGTAAGCAGGACCTCTGTAAGTGAGTATAGCGGAATAAGCAGGACCTCTGTAAGTGAATACAGTGGAGAAGGAGTAAGCAGGACCTCTGTAAGTGAATACAGCGGAGATGGAATAAGCAGAACTTCTGTAAGTGAATACAGCGGAGATGGAATTAGCAGGACTTCTATGAGTGAAACAGAAGAGGCAAGTAGAGCTTCTATAGGTGGTTCTAGGGAACACACCAGCAAATCTTCTGTCAGTGAGTCAACAGAGTTTGATTCTGAAAGTCTTTCTTCGACAACGGATCTATCAACCCCAAAAGAAGAGGGACCCTGTGCCTTAGACGGTAAGGTTAAGGCAGAATCCAAAGACTCTGAAGACCTGAAAGAAGGACTACACCAGGAGGACGATGCAGTCAAGGTCCGCTCCGGATCTCCTGTCTGGGAAGAGCTGGACCGTGAGGATCATTTGCAACTTACAGGAGATGCAGCACATTCAGAAGTTCCCGATGTTAAGGGCGCCGGTGAAGCTGATGCGCAAAGTTTGTTCTTTAGTCTCTACCCTGAATACCAGCCTGGCGAGGGAGAGGAAGCAGAGGAAAATCATGGAAAGGCGATAGTAGGAAATCCAAAATTTCCTTGTTTTCGGGGCCAAAGGGGAGAACAAGACGACCAAGAAGACGTTTACATGGCCATGGAAAACCCAGAGACAAAAGGCGGGTCGAGTAGAAAAGATAAGAGAACCAAGGGAACCCTTTCTGGAAAAATCAACCAATTTCAAAATAAATTCTCTCAACAGAAGAAGTCTGAAAGAGAGAATAAGAGCGCCTCTGAGCCTGAGGGATCTTCGTCACACCAGAGCAGCGGAGGAAGCGTCGACGAGCGACAAGACACCGCCTCAGGAAACTCAAGTGACGAGCAAAAAGCAAAAAGTGAAAGCAGAAGAGACGACTCAGAATTCTCCGATCACACCCCCAGAGACGGGGCGCTGCCCGATGTTCTGGACAGTGCCTCTTCCCTCGCCTCGGAGGGTCGTGCAGAGGAGGGTCAGCATCCCGCCAACAACAAAAACGACCTGGTATGTGATGCTGGACAACCTGGAGAAGGAGCCGAAGTAACTAAGCCAGAGGGCGCAGCGACAGATGCAACGAAGAAGTCTGGAGAAGACACACAGACTGTTGAAGGGGCAGCAGGAGTGACGGAGACTGGACAAGAGACACTAGAAGTAGAAAGCAAAAATGGAGGTTCCATAAAGGATCGTAAAACACTCGTGGGAAAGGCAAAAGAATGGATAAAAGGAGTCACAAGAATGGGGAGCAAGAAAGAAGATGTTGTCCCTGAAAAGACTAATGACAAATCAGAACCTGTCAATGGTTCAAAGGAAACAGCCAAGGTTGAAGCAAAGACGATGGAAACAAATAGCACAGCGAGCAAAACGCCATCAGTCACCTCAGAGTCTAAGACTTCAGAAGATGAAAAAGGTAAGAGCGATGAAGCAGATGCCTCACCAATTAAAGACGCTGTTAGTATGGCAGAGAGCGAGGTTGAAAAAGAAACGAATGCAGTCGGCGGGGAAAAAGTTGGTGTGGAGAACGTGGAAGAAGGCGCTGTGGCTACTGCAGGAAAAAAAGAAGAACCTCCTGCTCAAGAAGACCTCGCACATGAAAGTAACGGTGGAAAAGTGTCGGTAGAGGAGATCACCAAAGTAGCGAAAAAAGATAAAGAAGATGAGCTAAGCATTGAAAGTGAAGGGAAAGCTGTTGAATTAAGCGAGGAACAGGAAACGCCTGTCTCTGAGAGCCCTCCAGAGGGAGTTGTTGAAGCTGAGAGTATAGAAGACAAAAAATCTTCTCCATCGGACAAAGAAGCTCTCATTATTGACTATTTGGAAACTGGAAATGAATTTATCGATGCAATAGGTCAGCATGAACCTATATACGTCACAAACCCCCTAGAAGTTACACCTGATTTAACTAAGGATGAACCTTTAGTTCCTGAAAATTACACAGACGAAACGAAAGATTCTGCCACCCAGTTAGAAAGTAAAGAAGTCAGTGAGGTTGAAAGCAAAGTGAACGGGGTGGAGGAGAAGCAAGAGAATGGCTTGAGAGCAGAAGAGACAGCAGATACAGATACCAAGAAGCAAGATATTCCTGAAGTAGTGACGTCCACAGTAGAGCCAACCAGTGAAGACGTAATCCCTAAGGAGGAGAAACGTAAGAGAGCAAAGGACGAAACAAAACCACATCGTAAAGTTAGAGAAAAGTCGAAATCCCCGTCTGTATACAAGGACACTGATGAAAAGGGCCGAAGTCCAAAATTATCGAAAAAGGACAAGGATGGTAAGAGTGGAAGCAGGAGGAGAAGGCACCGACGACGTACTCGGAGCCAAGAAGGGCCAGAGGTGCAGGCGACCACAAAGGAGGCAGCCACATCACCACCTCCACCAGGCCTACTTTCTCCCCCAGGAAATGGGAGGACGAAGGGGGAACCCCCTGAAGGAAAGTTTCTTGAAGTTAGCGATGAAGTTCCCCAGAGAGAACCAGAACAAACAACTGCTAAAGGGGATGAATTTATTCGTGCTGAAGCGACTGAACTCGATACAGAAGAAAAAGGCTCCCCCACTGAAGATTTACCGCAAGAAAATGCAGCTGAAGAACAGGAACATGACATTACTGACCAGGTAACCGGAGAACAAGGTGATAATATTGATACAGCAGCTGTAGAACAAGAACCAGATGTTACTGACAAGAATATTGAAGAACCAGAAAGTGAGGTCGCAACTGAAGAACAAGAAGTTGAGGATGTTGTCAAAAAAGCTGAAGAAGAAGAAGAAGGCGAAGTTATTACTAAACCAGCTGAAGAACAGGAAGCCGATTTTATGGCTAAGCCAGAAAAAGAGCAAGAAGGCGAGTTTGCTGCGAAGCAGGCTGAAGAACAAGAAGGTGACGCTATTGCTGAGTCAGTTGAAGAACAGGAAGGCGAGGTTACTGTTAAGCCAGCCGAAGAACAAGTTGGTGAAGATATTACTAAGCCAGTTGAAAAACAAGAAGGTGAAGATATTGCTAAGCGAAGTGAAGAACAAGAGCGTGTCTCAGCTGCTACTCAGCCTGCCAGTGACCATCGTTTGAGAAAAAAGGTGTCAGTCAAATCCAGTAAAGACAAGTTTTCAGACGAATTCTGGAAGGAGAAACTGAGCAGTGGCCACAAGAGACACGGAAAGCACCGCGAGGAGCATAAATCTTTTAGTTCTGGCGAATATGACTATGCAAGTCTTTCCAGGATTAAGAGGGGAAAGAGTATTGAATCAAAACCCACAACGAGAGACACAGATGAACAGAAAAAAGTGGTTAAGAGCGACGAGGTTAGACAGGAGGTTCCCCAGGACAAGCAGTTGGGTTCCCCATCACTTACACCAAGTGAAGATGTCGGAGAAACAACTACCTCTTTCCCGGTCACAGGCGCTACCTGGAGTCCCCGGGTGGGTCGAAGGGAAAGAAAGAGTAGCAGAAGGTCAAGCGAGCGAAAGCGAGAGAGGAAATCCTCCGATAAATCAGAAGTCATGAAGGCGCCAGTTGAGGAAGACGCAAAGCCGATGCCAGACTTGGAGCCTTCAGGAAAGACGGATGAGCTACCAGAGTCTGAAGTGCCACAAATCGGGTCTCCAGTCCCACCTACGCCTCCAGCAGATACCAAGGTCTCTAAAGAAGTTGAATCGCCCAAGAAAGAGATCCCAGTTGAGCCCGTAAAGCCAGACGCTGCTGCTACAGATACTAGCGCTGTCTTATTAGAGCTGAAGTTCCCTGAGGGAATCTCAAAGCCTCGTTCACCCGTTCCTCGGAAATTTGTGTATCCAAGTAGAGGTTCAGTGCCTGAGAAAATCTCTAAACCACCTCCCGAAGATGAAGCGAAGCCTACTGTGAGGTCTCCGAGGTTTGCTTCACCAAAACCTCACACCAAGAGTGTTACCACTAAAGCTCCACCGTCACCCGTTACCACTAAGGCTCCACCGTCACCCGTTACCACTAAAGCTCCACCGTCACCCGTTACCACTAAGGCTCCACCGTCACCCGTTACCACTAAAGCTCCACCGTCACCCGTTACCACTAAGGCTCCACCGTCACCCGTTACCACTAAAGCTCCACCGTCACCCGTTACCACTAAAGCTCCACCGTCACCCGTTACCACTAAAGCTCCACCGTCACCCGCTACCACTAAAGCTCCACCGTCACCCTTGACCGGTGAAATAACTCAACGTCAAACAGGTATTTCAGAACCACCTTCTGAACAAATATTTAAACTAAAGTTTCCTGAAGGTGTCTCCCAGCCACTGTCGCCGCCGCCACCGCCGCCGGTAGTCTTAAAGCACTCAGACGGAATATCTCCTCCACTCTCACCAGAAGTCCTTAAAGAGACCCCAAAGCCGCCGTCTCCTGCACCAAGGAAAACAAGACCGAAAGTTGTAATTCCTACACCAGGGTCTCCAAAGCTTCAGACAGTGGAAGCTTCCCCCGAGCTTACTGTGCCAGCCTCTCCTCCAGCAGCTGCTCCTGATGATACATCCCAGAAGGTTCAGCCAGATACGATGACTCATCCCCCATCATCAAAACATTTGTCATTACCGGCATTAAAACCTGCTAGAGCCGTTTCACCCCTAAGGACACTAAAGTACCCTGAAGGTATCACTTCACCTCCCTCACCTGATCCAAGGAAGCATCGAAAACCCAAGAAGCTTCCCCACACTGAGACACCACTATCAACACTGGCAGCTGACGACACCAAGCCAATTATAACGTCAGAATCCTCACAGGCAATCATTTCCTCAGTCGAACCAACAACAGTTATGTTTCCCACGTCCATTGTTCCTCAGGATGATGGTTCCAAACTAGAACTCAAACCAGAGACAATGGTAGCTGAGACAACGATAACTCTTGAAACTTTCAACGAGACGAAGCCTGAGTCACCGAGTGTTTTACCGAAATATGTTAGCGATAAAAGTCGAATGTATTCACCTGATTCTGTCACAACAATGACAGCAGAGCTTTCCCTCGAGGATCAGAAGGGCAGAGAATCCCCTAGGATTAGATCCCATAGGATTAGCTCCCATAGGATTAGCTCCCCCTCCCCACAAAGAGGAAAATCCACGGTCGAGCGCCCAAAGCCTAGTCGACTCGCAACTCCAACACAACAACAAACAGCAGACAGTCCCGTCACGTCTCCCACGACCAAACCTGCTCTCAAGCCAAAGCCCACCTCAGTATCCAGCACCCACAGCCTCGAGCATGTGGAACCTCTAAAAGACACTCTACCCACCTCGCCACCACCTAGCGCATCAACAAAACCCACGGATGAGTCAAAGACACCTGAAGATATTACTAAATCACACACAAAAGATTCCAAACTAAAATTAATAGACTCTCAGACAACAGAGTCCGGTAAATCTCCTACAGACCTTAAGCAAACAGTAGAAGATTCTAGTCAAACAGTTAAATACTCTAGACCAATGACAGTGGATCTCAAACAACCAGCAGATGATTTTAAGTCAGAGACAGAAAGTTACTCGCCACTGAAGACTAGTGTGGCCCAGAGGATGAAGTTCCCAGAAAGTCTACAGCCCCTGCCTGTCTCGCCTTCTCCCAAAACGAAACCCACAGACTCCTTGAAGAGGAGCTCATCCATTAAGTCTGATGCTTCGTCACCCAAATCACCCCTACCGTCTTCCAAGATTGCTTCTCCAATACCCAAGATATCCTCTCCCAGTCCAAAGATAGCCTCTCCTACACCCAAGAAAACTTCTCCCACAGGAAAGATAGTTTGTCCTTTCCCTAAAATAGCGTCTCCTACGCCTAAAGTTGTATACATCCCCAAGACAACTGCAGCATCAAAAGTCGCCTCTCCTGTTCCTAAGACAACTTCACCAGTACCAAAGTTATCCTCTCCCACACGTAAGATATCCTCACCTATACCAAAGATGATAACTTCCCCTACTCGCACAATCGCTTCACCTTCCCCACTGACACAAACTGTTGCAGAAAAAACAAGTGTACCTTCGCCTCAACTCTCTGATGATCAGCTCCCAAGATTTATTTTTGCGACACGGCAGCGACCCTTCCCCGACGGGAAGTCAAGTCCTTCAGAGCCACCTGCTTCAGATGCCGAGAAGCAGAGTTCTGAAAGCTCCCAGGTTCCAGCACTGTCACATGATGAGGACCATCGGACGACACGGAAACACACCTCAGGAGCCTTCCGTCCTTCACATGAGGACCTTCTCTCTCATGAACCCCGCCTCTCACCTCGTGAAGCCCGTGTTTCTCAAGAGGCCCGACTCTCCCCTCATGGCCTCCTGGGGTCCCCTCATGAGGGTTCGCCATCGCCCAAGGAAGGATCTCAGTCGCCCCACCCTGGAGGTGACCCACCATCCAAGAGAGTCCGCCGGAAGAAGAGGCGTTAGTGCCTGGCAGACCCACAGCCGTAGCAGAAGACTAAGGCAGAGAGAGTTTTCAGAAGGCCAAGGGAAAAATAAGAGCTTTTGAGTTACCATACTGTATATCTTACGAAGCTTCATAGTGTATCGTGTTCATCTTAGAGGAGCCATCGAAGCATTTAAAAACCAGTGTACCCACACATCCAGTCCATTCACTCTTCATAACAGTGATCCAACACGTATGAAACTAGTTCATAGAGCCGCTAGACCGGCTTGATCCAGTCCTTTACTTAAGTCAGTGAACCAATACGTACTAACCCATTTCATAGCCGCTAAACTGCTGAACTGAGCTGATATAGCCCAAAATTAGTCATTCAACTTGTATCAAACCACTCCACAAAGTTGCTAAACTGGCTTGAGCAAGCTTCTTACCTAAGGTAGTGATCCACCATACATCAAGCCACTTCAGAGACCCGCTGACCTGGTTTGACTGAACAACATATAGTAAGCCACTCGGCCTTTACCCCGTTCTTATGGTAGATTCTCTCTGTGTCTCCTGACCAGCGCCGCCCACACGACCACCTGCGTTGTGAACGAACGACACGACATAACTTGTGTTGAGGACTGACAACACGACACCACTTGTGTTATGAGCTAACAGCACAACACCACGTGTGTTATGAGCTGACAACACGACACCACTTATGTTATGAGCTAACAACACAACACAACTGGTGTTATGGGCTGACAACACGTCACTACCTGTGTTATGAGCTGACAACAGCTCACCAATTGTGTTGTGAACTGACAACACGACGCCATTTGTGATGTGAGCTAACAGCACAACAGTTTGTTTTGTGAGCTGACAATACAACACCAATTGCGTTATGAGTTGACAACAAACCCACCGCGTGTTTTGTGAGCTGACAACACAGCAGTTGTGTTATAAATTGACAACACAACACCAATTGTATTGTAAGCGGACAACACTGTATAGTTTGTGATGTGAGCTGACAACACGACGTATTTTTGTTATGAGCTGATATCTCGATACAGTTTGTGTTAGGAGCTGACAACGTGACACTGCTTGCTAGTTAATAACTCAACATACTTTGTATCATGATCTGACGACACAACACTTCTTGAGTCATGAGCTGACGGCACGATGCTCCTTGCGAACTGTCAACACGACATTATTTGTGAGCTCGCAACACCACTTTGTTTGTGGGCTCACAACGCCACATTCATGTGAGCTGACAGCACGACATTGTTTGTGAGACGACACCACGACATTGTTTGTAAGCTGACATCACGACATTGTTTGCGAACTGACAACACGACATTGTAAGCTGACAACACGACATTGTTTGTAAGCTGACAACATAACATTATTTGTGAGCTGACAACACAACACTTGTGTTTTGAGCTAACAACACTACACTATTTGTGTTTTGAGCTGACAACACGACATAAATTCAGCTGACGACACGACACATTTGTGAGGATAATACAAGCATGCTTTCACCTCACAGGACGTGTGAGAGCCTTGTTTTATCGTCAGATCACAATACGACCAGTGTTGGAGGATGGTGTGGTCGTTTACGGTCGTTCTGGAGGCGACTATGGCGGGGGACTGCTACCAGTAGAGGTAAAGAGTTCCTGATGTGGCTGACGTAAAATATTACCTCCTGACGTGGTTGATGAAGGAAGAAGAATATATTTCGTTGCTGACGAGGGAAGAATTTCTTCTGATGTGGTTGACGAAGGATACGAATTCTTGACGTTGCTGTCATGAAAAGAATATCTTCTGACGTGGCTGACGAAGGAATAACTCGTGGCTGATGAAGGAAGAAGAGTTCCTGACGTGGCCGACGATGGAGGAACTACTAACTAGCTCAAATGTATCACTGCAGCGTTGTCTCTTAGGCAACTAATCGAATATTGGTTTATTGATAACAAGTTTATGTAATTTACAACACACACACACACACACACACACATATAAATATAATATATATATATATATATATATATATATATATATATATATATATATATATATATATATATATATATATATATATATATATATTCTGTCATCTTCATATATTTCTGATTCTTTTTACTTTATTTTATTCTTGTTGGTTTTCTTTTTGCTATCCTCTTGGTAATCTTCTTCCTCTTCTTATTTGGTAATTACACTGAGGAAAAAAGCTCATATCGCATATAAAGAATTTTTAAGACCATTATTGCTTATCCAAATGCTAATTTGCTTTTATTAATATACCTTCTATTTTCTTCTATTTACCTTATTTATTCTTTCTTCCTTTATGAAACTAACAGAAAGGTAACAAGGCAACTGTAAAACTGTATCAACAAGTACTGCTTAACTTTCTTGTTCATGTTGCGTTATCTTCGTTGGATGATAACGTTAACAAGGCAAACATAAAAGCTATCGACTTATACCGCTTAATTAAATGTTAGTTCTTTTATAAAAGGTCAATAAATCATTGTATATGTAGGATAGGGTAAACTGTATTGTTAATCACTGTTTGTATTTGTTAGTTATTAAAGTCAGTGAGTGGCTGTGTATGCTGAATGACGCCAGTTTTTATTAATTCCAAGTTTCAAACACTTATTATCTTTTAACACCATCAACTGTTGACTATCTTGAAGGAAACATTATTATTATTATTACTGTTATTATTACTATTATTATTACTATCATTATTATTGGATTCTCGTGGAGAGGAATTTATTATGTACTATTAGAAACACAAATAAATTATGATTATATATATATATATATATATATATATATATATATATATATATATATATATATATATATATATATATATATATATATATATTGACATAATCTCACAGGGAAAAGGTAACAATAGAGAGCCTTAGCTTTCGTCTTTATTCAAGACATCTTCAGAGGGAACTGTATTACAATGACTGAGAGAGAGCTTATGTACAGTACACAGGGTGAGCTTACAAAACATGAGGTCAGGTCAAAAAAACATGACATCCACTAATCCACACACCAGCCACACAGCAAACATAAGAAAAGATTATAAGAACGGGTGACATAACTAGTCATGTCACGTCAAGTAAAGAATATGAGACCCACTAATCATCTATCATACATCTACCTTACATGCTTTCAAAGCATTTTTAACCTTGGGCCACTGACAAATAAATTTGTGTAACATATTATCAGTTTTGTACTGACCATCACTAAGGTATAAAGAATACATTTCTCTAATCAAACTTGCTTCAACTAGAAGTCTTTCTGTGACACAAGATGATTTATACACTTCTAAACTGTTTTCCCAAGCTATGGGATGATTATTGTTCCTTATATGAACGTACAGTGCACTGCTTTCAGATTCTGTTCTAATATTGTACTTGTGCTGTTTAATTCTGAGTTGCAATGCTTCCCCAGTCTGTCCCTACATAATTTCCATTACAATTGCTACATGGAGTACAGTAAACACTTCCAATTACATTCAAGGTTGGGCTATTCTTAAGTAATATATTAGTAATAGTTGAGTCATACTTAAAAACAGCATTAATGTTTAATAATTTAAGGGACTGAACTAACGGGACAAATTCATTACGATAAGGTAGAGTCAAAATATTCTTAAATGTAGGAACTTGCCTAGTTTGAGTAGAATAAAAGGATTGTTTAACCCTTTTAAAACAACGATCAACAAACAATGAAGGGTACCCAAGTTTTTGTGCAATGGACTGAATGTGTTGTAGTTCTTCTTCAATAAATTCAGGGTCTCAAATACGTAAACATCTCAAAAACATAGCAGAAAAAACTGACATTTTGGTAGACTCATAGTGAGACCCTAAATTCATAGTTATGTCCATTTCTCATGATAAACATATCAAGAAATGGAAGGGATCCATTTATCCCTCTTTCAATTTTGAATGTAATACTGGGGACAAGATAATTAAGCTTGTCTAAAAATTCCATTGGGTCACCGTTTCTAGGCCATAGACAAAGAACATCATCTATATATCTATACCATGGAGGAATAAAGTCCACTATATTGGGTAGTAATCTAGCCTCAAAAAATTCCATATAAATACAGGCTAAAGGAGCAGAAAGACAATCACCCACGCTCTTGCCAAATATTTGTTTGTAAAACTTTCCATTATCAGTAACGCATAACTCTATCAATTTGAAAAATGTATCATGTTCAATAGTTAAATCTAACAGAGGCAACTTATCTCTAAGGAATTGAAAGTAGGTCTTTCACTGGTACTCTAGTGAAAAGTGAATGTACATCAAAACTTATTAATTCACATGGTTCATTGTGTATCTTGAGTTTATCAATTAAATCATTGCTGTTGCGTATATGTGAATTAGAAATCTGGCCTGTAAGCAGGGATAGCGTCCTAACCAACCACTTGGATAATTTGTACGTAACAAAACCCACAGAACTCACGATAGGGCGTAATGGGTAATTGTTTTTCTGCTCCATTAGCCAGTATTTTTATGGAATTTTTTGAGGCTAGATTACTACCCAACATAGGTGACTTTATTCCTCCATGGTATATGTAGATGATGTTCTTTGTCTCTGGCCTAGAAACAGTAACCCAATGGAATTTTTAGACAAGCTTAATTATCGTGTTCCCAGTATTACCTTCAAAATTGAAAGAGAGATAAATGGATCCCTTCCATTTCTTGATATGCTTATCATGAGAAATGGTCATACTATATATTTAGGTGTACAGAAAGCCTACACAGGTAGATAGCTTCATACATTTTTTTATCGAGTCACCATGAATCTACCAAAATGTTTTTTCTGCTATGTTTTTGAGATGTTTACGTATTTGAGACCCTGAATTTATTGAAGAAGAACTACAACACATTCAGTCCATTGCACAAAAACTTGGGTACCCTTCATTGTTTGTTGATCGTTGTTTTAAAAGGGTTAAACAATCCTTTTATTCTACTCAAACTAGGCAAGTTCCTACATTTAAGAATATTTTGACTCTACCTTATCGTAATGAATTTGTCCCGTTAGTTCAGTCCCTTAAATTATTAAACATTAATGCTGTTTTTAAGTATGACTCAACTATTACTAATATATTACTTAAGAATAGCCCAACCTTGAATGTAATTGGAAGTGTTTACTGTACTCCATGTAGCAATTGTAATGGAAATTATGTAGGGACAGACTGGGGAAGCATTGCAACTCAGAATTAAACAGCACAAGTACAATATTAGAACAGAATCTGAAAGCAGTGCACTGTACGTTCATATAAGGAACAATAATCATCCCATAGCTTGGGAAAACAGTTTAGAAGTGTATAAATCATCTTGTGTCACAGAAGGACTTCTAGTTGAAGCAAGTTTGATTAGAGAAATGTATTCTTTAAACCTTAGTGATGGTCAGTACAAAACTGATAATATGTTACACAAATTTATTTGTCAGTGGCCCAAGGTTAAAAATGCTTTGAAAGCATGTAAGGTAGATGTATGATAGATGATTAGTGGGTCTCATATTCTTTACCTGACGTGACATGACTAGTTATGGCACCCGTTCTTATAATCTTTTCTTATGTTTGCTGTGTGGCTGGTGTGTGGATTAGTGGATGTCATGTTTTTTGACCCGACCTCATGGTTTGTAAGCTCACCCTGTGTACATAAGCTCTCTCTCAGCCTTTGTAATACAGTTCCCTCTGAAGATGTCTTGAATAAAGACGAAAGCTAAGGCTCTCTATTGTTACCGTTTCCCTGTGAGATTTTATCAAGATCTATCTTATCCATGTTTCCATTGTGGATCTACATGAAATATATATATATATATATATATATATATATATATATATATATATATATATATATATATATATATATATATATATATATATATATATATATATATATATATATATATATATATATATATAATTCCCCTGAGTTGTTAAGCCTTAAATAAAATTTAAATAACATTCAAAATTAAGGAAAGTTGTACTGTTCTCTCGCTGTATCCTACTGTACCAAATACAGTGCACATGTTTGGCATGTGTAAATCTAATTTCATCATCAGAAAATAGAATGAAAAATAGATTATTTGATAAAATAACAGATAATAACAAAAAACTAAACATTGGTTAAGGGACATCGAAACATTTACGTGTACCTACATTAAGACACTTTAGAGTGTCTGATACCAGGCAGACGTCACTATTCATCCTCAACCACTAAACTGACACTTAATGACCATCACAAACCTCAAAATGTATACTAGTAACGAAAATAGTTATACATAATCACAATGTTACCTGTGTGTTGATTAAAGCAAATGACTCCTTAGTCTTAATATAAAAAGCAATACTAACTTTTTATGCCTATGGAGACACTCGTCATTCTAAGGCTAATTTCGTGGGAGGCAGAGAAAGTGCAATCGAAATATTAGTTCACAGGTGATGCACTAAAGTGGTGGGGCTTAGTGTAGGTCATCCAACTCGATTGTTTGATGGTCTAATAATTAAGAATAAACCGGGGAGGAACTATATTTTCTAAGCGAGCAGATGACCGCCGCCACCGCTCAGTCCTGCCGACGTGGTGAATCTGTTAGTATGGGACACTGTAGATTGTTTGCAAAATTAGAACACATAAATATATTGAAAAGTATGATAAACAGTTTAAACAACTATATTCAAAGCCATTTGTT